AAATTAGTAACAAACTATACAGTACTTAGTGTAAATATTTATCATCAATTCAAGTTGCCCTACTACACATCAATTTAGGAAAAGAGGAAATTAACAAATTGAAAATCAGTAGATTCAAAATAATTATACTATCAAGGGTAATAAAAACGCATAATTTAAAAGTGAAATAGTTCAGAAGACTCAGTTATAGAAGTAAGAAAGTCATTTAGACTCGGTAACCATTGCTAAGCACGTTACCGAAACTGAAGAATCACAAGTAAGTGAGTTGACAGTCGATTACCTTTAGATCGCTGTAATTAAATTGAATTGATTACTCGTTTACTAGATATATATTTGTGTGTCTAACTTCAAGTCACATTCTAACTGGAAGGGCTGATTTGTTGGTAGAGTGGGATTTCAACCTACTACTTGATAACTAACTGACTGGCTGAAATTCGAACGCCGTAACCACTGAGCTCCATTGATGTGGGATAAAACATGTGTCAGAATAATAAAAAAAAGTCGGGATTATTATTCAATTGTCCTTTCCATTTGTTGAGCCTTCAACTCTCTCCCTCTCTTTTTCTCATTTACTTTCTCTTACATTTTGGCATCATTGATAATTTGTATAATTACTTTTTATCATTTCTAGATGTCTCGTATGAATTGGGATAATGATCGATTGGAAGATCGTCTTGCCAAATGTAGTAAAGATGCAACAAAACTAGCTATGGAACAATTACATGCTTTAACTGGTCAATTAATTAAAGATAGTCTATTTAATAAATTTTAAACTGTTATTTTTGTTCTTGTTGATGTTGTTATTATCATTCTTCACATCCTGATTTTTCTAGTACATTGTACATTATTGTGAATGATTGTATTTTATTTGTCAACAGTTTATGATTTCAAATGACTTTTGAATGAAAACATGTAATTAAATTTTCATGCATGATAATGTGATGATTATGGTTGATTAAATATGCTTGAACTAAACTGTTTATTTGTAATAACTAGTTATTAAATCTACGCCGGTTGATCATTGATTATAAAACAATGTGATATGGTCTAATTCTCTGTGCTCTGACCAGATTTTATAGATGATATTTCAGTTTTTTCCCACTAGTTTAAGTGAATCAACATACTGCAGCACTAAAAACTGACGTTTCATGTTAGTGTTATTACTTGTCGCCAAGACTTGTCTGTAATTGTAAGGGTGCTGGTCATCTCCAGTGTGATTTAGACATTGTTTACTTATTATTACCGAAAAATTACTATTCATACCATACATAACCCAGCAAGATGTCGTGTAATAGAGAAAAGTTTTCACACTGGAACTTGACTGGTACGAATCCATCAGCATTGTTTATTACACGGCCACCACTCAGCGATCAATTAATTTTAAGATATCTATCTTACCGATCAATCACAGTGGGGCATCTTAGTTGAGATGTTTTTGTATGTTAGTTACTTCCAAACAACTTAAGGTCATCTTATATTCATTCTTCTTGTCATCAGTAATCTTTATTGTTAGACTTAAATAGGTTTTTATTCTCTTCACCGCGTAACTATCATCTATCAATTAAGGGACGAGTATACTGCGCGGCAGTTCGTTCTGTTTTACTTTACGGCTGCGAAACTTTACCATTAAGAGTTGAAGATACTCGTAAGCTACTAGTATTTGACTGTAAATGCCTTAGAATTATTTCTTGCATCTGCTGGGATCATCGGGTAAGTAATAGTGAGTTTAGACGTGTAGGGTATTAGGTAATGATGGTAAATCAGTTGATGAGGTGAATCTTCATCGACTGAGAAGGTTGGGTCACGTGTTACGAATGCCTGAACATCGATTACCACGACACGCAATGCTGACTAGTTTCGGGAATGGTTGGAAGAATGTTAGGGGAGGCCAAACTAAAACATGGCATCAGTCCTTGGAGTCACTTACATGTAGTCTTAACCTTGCTGGAAGATGTAGACTGCTTGGTTGGGGTCTGCACGACTATCGTAACCAATGGTTGGAGAATCGGAGTGACATAGCTCAGGATCGATCGCAATGGCGTAGGTGTATACACTCTTTGTCTATTATGATTACTGAATGACATGAATTCATTTGTTTCATGGATTCTCCTCAGTTGTTTACAATCTAAAATGATCTATATTGATCATTAAAACAAGTATAGGTTAAATAAATGATTAAGCAAACATTTGAACTATGCTAATTCTTCCATATTCTTTTCTCTTAATATTATTCTATGTCTCTATATCAACTTGATTCATTCTAAAATATTTCCGACATGAACTATGTATACTTTTGTTTCATTTCAATGATCAATACAATCGTTTTATTTTGTAAGCAGCTGAGGAGAATCCACATAATCAATGAATTCATATTATTCTATTACGTTTTTTTTTAATTTTTGTTCTTTATTTATTTATGCTATAATTGTGGATAAGATACTACTTGTTCTACAGAATCTAACTGATATGGTTCTATACAACAAAAAAGAGAAGAATACAAGATAGGAGATAAAAATATATTTATGAATCGAACACTGATTTACACCAGATCAATACAATATTGAAATATGAAATGAATATATACTATTGTTTAAGTGTCCAGTTAATAGACAAATGTGAAAGTAATGCACTGACAATCAGAGTTGGCATTACTTTGTCAGTAAGTTATACCATTTACAACATCAATAAATCTACTGCTTCAACTAACACGTAAAACAAAATACTATGTTATATATATCTTGCTGTTTAATAAGATAATACTCGGTATCAAGACTTTAAACAATGAATAGATTCGTTCATATTGTGTACGAGTTACATTCTATTGTAATTATGATATCTCTAAAAGCAATTTTCATTACTGACTGAAATTCGTTCAACAATCAGGTAAAACTAGAAAACATCTACTTAGTTTTTACCCTTCAACAGTGCTCACTTATGCTGAATCGAACTGTTGTAAAATTCATCTTCAAAAAATAAAGGCTTCAAATTAGACAGAACTTTTGCAAAACCATGTAACTTGATAGTGAAAATTTCATCATAAATAAGCCCTTTCGATACTTGATTTAAAACTTCTATGTTCCTATGATGAGAAAATACTCAATATCATACTGAATTCCTATGATGGATTAAACTGCAAAGTCGTGCATGGAGGACAACTGACAGACTCGTTCGATGTGAAGACTGGTGTAAGACAATTGATTGATCACTGGGTGGCGATCAGTGTCATGCGTGTCTAGTCCTTATTAGTGCGGATCGAGTGCTATCGATCATGTTTCAATGTGGTCACGAGCCTAGGTGACTCGACACTGTGTGCACTATTGTGAGATTAGATGGTGGTCGGAGGTAGTCAACAGGAAACCCTGGACCCAGCTTTCGTGCTACTTGGCACTCGTCGGCAAGGTGTGCCTGTAATCTTGAGCGAACTGGTGCTCCGTGGTGGACTCGATCTCGTGTCACCCAGCTTCACAGCCAGAGACGTTACCACTGAGCTATCCGAGTTGTGACTAACCTGTAGGACTGAGATGTAATCACAATTGATTGATCACTGGGTGGTGATCAATGTCATGCTTGTCTAGTCCTTATTAGTGCAGATCGACTGGTGTAAGACAAGGTTGCTTACTCTCACTCATTCTTCTAGTGATCGACTGGGTCCTGAAGACGTCAACATCTGGGTGAAAGCGCGGGATACAGTGGACATCTAGGATGTAGTTGGACGATCTGGCTCTCCTATCGCACACTTGCAACAACAAATCCAGGAGAAAACGACCAGTGTGGCAACAGCCTCAGCAACAGTAGGTCTCAACATACACAAAGAGAAATGCAAGATTCTCCGATACAACACAGCATGCACCAATTGACTAACACTTGATGGAGAAGCTTTGGAAGATGTAAACACATTTGCATATCTGGGCAGCATCATTGATGAACATGGTGGGTCTGATGCAGATGTGAAGGCGTGGATCGGAAAAGCAAAAGCAACATATTTACAACTGAAGAACATCTGGAACTCAAAACATCTGTCTGTCAACCAACACCAAGATTAAGATTTTCAATACAAATGTCAAAACAGTTCCGCTGTATGGGGTGGAGAACTACGAAAGCCATCATCCAGAAGATACAGGTGTTAATTAACAGTTGCCTACACAAAATACTTTAAATCCGTTGGCCAGACACTATCAGGAACAACCTACTATGGGAGAGAATAAACGAGATCCCAGTGGAAGAAGAAATCAGGAAGAAGCGATGGAAGTGAATAGGACACAGATTGAAGAAAGCACCCAACTGCATCACAGGGCAAGCCCTCACATGGAATCTTCAGGGGCAAAGGAGGAGAGGAAGACCAAAGAACACATTACACCGTGGGACGGAGATAGACATGAGAAGAATGACTAATAATTGTATAGAACTAGAGATGAAAGCCGAGGACGGAGTAGGTTAGAGAATCCTGATCGGCAGTCTATGCTCCATTGGTGGTGAGAGACGTAAGTAAGTAATATCCCTATGGTCTAGTAGTTGCATACGTAATATAATTAAGAAAACTATCGATCTATAATATGAATTATCTTTAATCTACACAATAAATTCATGTATTTTTGTCTGTTTAATTTTTTTTCTCCTTCAAATCATTACCACTTACTATGATTTCAAATTAATAATTTTTGTTTTAATGAATGTTATAACACCCGCCCAGTGTCTATTATTCCACAGGACTTCAGCACAACTCAAAAACGCGTGATTAGTCTGAGTAGAAGGTGAATATATATTTCCACACCAAAACCCGAAACAATCCAACAACAATGAACAATCAATAATAATAAGGATAGGAGAATATAAAACTCATCTAACACCTGTCAAACTATCTACATGTCTGACTAAGCAAACAACCAATCATAATCATCTTATTGCTCCTAAATCCCCTGGCAGAGCCGAGAGTGGGGAGAATCCGCCCTTCCTCTCTAAATGCTCTCACATGACCATGCATATATACCTTCTGTCAGGGAAGTCCTACTCACTACCTTCTCGTGACGGGGTTATTGTCTATGAAGTTGAGTGGACGAAAAGCCAATGTCCAGCCCTTTAATCGAGTTGGTAGACATAGAGAGTTCACCTAGATAAGTTGAAAAACCCTGATTTCAAATCAATGGGTTTCAGTATCCTGAAGGAACAAATAGTGTAGTTATCGGCTACCATAGGACTATATCTCCTTACGATACTTCATTGCCTTATGAATTAGACGTTTAGATCAAAGGCTCCAGATGTGCTTCCCAACCTCCACCCCAAAGAAAACCATCTACTTCAATTTGGGTACCCGGAAATTATCACAACTAATGAGATTTATGTAAGGCGTATATATTTATTTGATGCTTCCCCCCCACCCATTGTGTTCAAATAAATAATCATTCTTATCTAATATATCAAATAAAAAATTTTCAACTATTTATTTTCATATTAATTAATTAATTAATTAATTAATTAATTAATTAATTAATTTGGTAATATACCGCATAATTGTAATTTATTTGGTAAATATTCATTAGTTAAATAAGTTGATTGAATTGTATTTAATATTTCTAATTCAGCTTTCATTTCTGTCAATAATAAATAGTTGATCTATGAATAAATCAAAATTATCTAATCTATTTTTTTTTAATGAATTTACTTGTTCTAATAATATGGATTCTTGTTGAATATATAAACGTTTTTTCATTGAATTTAATAAAGATTTATCTCTTTTTGTTAATTTCAATAGATTAGTTTCTTTGATTTGAAGACTAAATATTAATTGAATAGTTTGTTAATGGATAGATATAAAACTTACGATGATAATTCACTTGGTAATAGTCCACATAGTTGAAGATTGAATATTTTTATTGGACTACCATTTTCATTTTGCATCATAGGATTCTAAATTGAGTTTTTTTTTAAGAAAAACAAAGCTGTGTGATTTATTTGATAAAATATTATGATTTAGAGTTATTAAATTAATTACTTGAGTATGTCGAGTACTTCAATTATCTTGGAACTCTCATCAACCCTTGTGGTCTGGTGTGTGATGAAATCTCAGCATGGATTCAGAAGGCTCGACTAGCTTTTGCCAACTTGCGTCATTTATCGCGTAGGCGAGATATCTGTCTATCAACCAAAGGGCGTGTTTACTGCGCAGCAGTTCGTCCCGTCCTACTTCATGGCAGTGAAACATGGCCGGTAAGAGTAGAGGATATTCATAGGTTACTAGTATTCGATCATAGGTGTCTTCGAAACATTGCTCGTATATCATGGGACCATCGAGTAAGTAACACAGTTGTTAGGAAACGGGTACTAGATAAGGATGGCAAATCAATTGATGAAGTAGTGAAACTTCATCAGTTGAGATGGCTGGGACAGACCGAATGCCCCGACGAGCGATGTTTTATGGTGTAGGAGTAGATTGGAAGAAAGCTAGGAGCGACTAGACCAATAACGTGGTACAAATCCATGAAGTTACTGAAAAGTGGACTGAGACATATTGGTAGGTGTAGACTACCTGGTTGGGGACCGCGAGATGATAACAACCGATGGTTAGAGACCCTGAATGACATGACTCAAAATCGTTAGTAATGGCTCAGGTGCATCCACTATATATATATATATATATATATATATATACTTCTATGCAATCTGTCACGCTCAACAGATCAATCAACATATAAGGAATAATAGTTTCATGCTTACCGTAGTGCCGTACTTGTAAGTACAGAATACATTTATACCTATAAAGTGAGAGATATTACATCGTTTTATTCGCCATACCATGAGGATCAGCATCAAAAAGTCCAATCATTGGAATACTTGGATGCATGCAGTTTATTTGAGCAAGAAATTGGCGAGTTATCAAGTCTGGATAACCTTTAGCCTATTTTAAATAATAATTATTAATACCAGTAGAAATGAATTATTTGGCTTACCGTAACCAATAAACAAGGTTTGAATTTTTCATAGAACTTCTCACTTAAAAGTTTCCGAAAAATCGTATCTTTCTCAATTATCAAAATAAATTGAGGTAAACATTCTGTATATCCGGTTGACAGGCAAACAGATGACTTAGAATAGTAATCTACCTGAGATAATAACCTCATATCCACTTTTAAACAAACTTTCAGGTATACCCTGCAAATAAAAAGAAACGAATAATAAAGATCACTTCTTGTTAACAAGTCATATGTTATTTCTAGTTACAAAGGTTCCCAAAGACACCTAACCAATTAGTTAGTCCTGAGACGAAATCTCGTAAGGTAATTACTTATTGTCAGATCCGAATACATCACACTTCGCTACAGCTGTAATCTATAATATCCGAAAAATTTGAGAGCTGATATCTGTTCTGTAAGTAATATTTCTGTTAATTGTTAAGTGGTTGTCTTCACTTACGTTTGTTGGTGTGTATGGGATAGAGGGGTTAGGTCATCTGCGAAGTCCAATTCTTCTAGTCACACCCACGTTGTCCTCTGTATTTTTCACGTTTGCTCTGATCTCCTTTCTTTGGTGTCTTGATGAGGTGTCCTTCTTTTTTAGTTTGTCGATAGCACTTGTTTCTCCTTTCAAATCTTCTTGAATAGAATGTGAAGCATATTTGCAAATACTTTTGTATCTGACTTCAGCTGGTATATTGTCAGGTCCTTCTGTTCTTCGACTCATTATTCGCCTGATGACCGCAAGTGATTTCTTCGATCGTTGATGGAGTGACATCTATAGGAAGGTCTGTAGTTGCTGCTTCGATGTTTGGCGGATTCAGTGGAGCTGTCCTACTCAACAGTCCTTCAAAGTTTTCCTCCTATCTGTTCCTCTGTTCTCGAATCTCGGTGACTGTCTTGTTTCCTTTGTCCTTGACCGGTCTCTCTGGTTTAATATGTTTCCCTACCAATTTCTTCGTCGTGTCACATATTTGTTTGACATTTCCTCCCGTTTCAGCTATTTCCACCGTCGCTGCAAGTTCTTCCACGCATTCGTACCTGTTAACTCTGGTTCTCCTTTTAACTTGTTTGTTCACTTCTGTTTATTCAGCTTGTGCTTTGAATTTTTTTGTTCCTTTTCAGCTGTTGTTGATTGCTGTCTTCTTGTTCTTTTCTTAAGTGTTTTCTAGGGTTTCCATTGGCATCCATTTCTTTTGATGATGCTTCTTGAGGTCCAGTACCTCCTGACACGTTGAAGTTAGTAATTCTTTGATCGCTTTCCAGTCGCCTACATAGTAGTTTCTTTTTCTTTGAGTAGATCTTGTAACGCTTAGAACTTGTTGTTTAGTTATCTTGAATTGAATGAGTTTGTCAGCATGTCGAAGGAAGGCTATGTTGAACCTTTGTAATGGTGTTTGTGCAGTTGTCCGGTATTTCTTTAGCTTCAGTTCCGTCTCGACAACCACCAGGTAGATAGTGATCTGAAGCTATGTCAGATCCTCTCCTGGTTCTTATGTCTTCCATTGACCTTCTGAATTTTTTACTGATGCAAATACGATCGGTCTGGTTCTCCATGGTGTGGTCCAGTTAGACCCATGTAGTATTGTTTATGCGTTTGTGTGGGAATATTGTGCAACCTATAACCATTCTGTTGAATGCGCATAAATTTGCGAATCTCTAACCATTCTCGTTGCTTTCTCCCAGTCAGTCCATGTCGTCTCATGATATCTTCATACCCGGTGTTATCCATCCCAACTTTTGCTTTTAGGTCTCCTATCCGGAGTGTTAAGTCCTTTCCTGAGCACTTTGCTATGATCGATTGCAACCTCTCGTGTAACTGACCTTTATCGTTGTCGCCGCTATCATCGGTGGGTACATAACATTCGATAATGTTCATTGTGATTCCCTCCTTTGTTTTGAAAGATGCTTTGGTGATCCTGGATCCATGAGATTCCCATCCTATAAGTGCACTACGTGATTCTTTGTACAGAATCAAAGTAACTCTCTGAGTATGTGGAGCATTTCCTTCTTCATGACCAAAGTGAAGTAGCATCTGTCCTGAGTGTATCCTTTTCTATCTAGCTTGGGTCCCATAGGTTTCACTGATTCCGTCGAGTATCTCCTCATTTGCGTAGCTATTTGGTTGGTTATCGCGATCTCCTAAATTGTTCAGACATTTAGTGTACCCATATTAATTGTTGCTCTGGTTGTTAGAAGGGACATCAGTGTCGTGGCTTCCGGAGAATCTCGGCTTTCATTATGAGGCGTCATATTTATTTTGAATGAAGATCGTTCGGCTAGGAGGGTAGAGTTTTAATGGTTCAACTTGTTAGTTCTGGCTAGCGGCTTTTCAGCAAGGTTATTTTGTACAGGACGTGTTCGTTGACCTTATGCCTAGTCCTCTTCCTTTACTTGGGCTTGGGATCGGCGGTGGCGGTGGAGTTGCTCAACAAGGAATGTTGCATAATTTTGTTGGTATTTTCTTGAAATGAACTTTTTTATACTAAGATTCATGGATAGAATGACTGATACTCAGATGTAGTCATTCTGTTCCTGAGTACACAGTGTGTTATAAAACAAGAAGAATTAGTCATTTCATTCCTTAACTAAAACTTCCTGTTTTTACTAAGGTTTTCATGACCCAAATCAAAGGATATCTGGAATTTAAATGCATCTGTGAGTGTAGTTAGCGACCACTTCAATTGTGAACCTCAGATGCTTCACTACTATTCGTGATATATTATAGTAATATACAATTTCGCCGATTTAAAACTTTCCAGTCATCTTCATCGTATCACCTCCAAGTTTAATTACTTTATCGAAAAGTCCAGTTAAAATTCAATTACCATAGTCTCATATTTCATGAGAACATATAGTACAAAACATTTCGCCTTATTAAAAGGGAAATGTTTGAGTAAATTCTTAGGTATACACACTCAGACAGTTTACCATCTTAGTAGCCAACATTCAGACTGTCACGTGGTTATATTAACTCGTTAGCTGTTTCGCAAAACTAATTAACAATGATAAAGTAAGATATGTAAACCCAGTGAAATTAAAACCGATAGCTACAAACATTAATTAATATAGTTTCTTATATCCTAGCGAATGCACACTATTTCTACATAAGCTTTAAATGTCTGGAGTCTAAGCTGAACGACTTTGGAAGACATTGAACAAAAGCTTCACGTTAATAGTTTCTGTGGACAGTTATAAGTAGAATGACTGTATTCTCTCTTTTCCATGAATAATTTCTTTAAACTATAGAAACGAAATCGACTTTTCAAAATATGTCAAATGATACTGATCTTACCAAATTATTGCTTTTAACGACATCGCTTTCATACCCAATCCCTAGATAAATATCACCATAAACAATCAATTTGGAAGAGGCGTTCTAAAGAGGAAAATGTTATTAAGATAAGCTGTCTTACTATTTTAAGAGCGCACCGAGGGAGACTGAGCTCCTTACAAATCTTTGATAATAATGGGTCTATAATGGATTGTCGTTTGAATAAAATGGGATTTGAGTAATATATAGATCTAGATAATTATTCTGAAACAGCCGTCGATATACCGTTTTGTTATGAATTTGTCCTCTCGTACAGCTTCATGGGCCATTTTTAAAATAACCATCAGGCGTGCTTTAATTTGAAAAGAAAGAGAAATTTTGTTAGTGAACGAGACGTCAGGTGACTAAAACGTATGACTAATATGTAAGTTTTATGTTGTTCTACTAGGCTTCACATAGAAATGATGCAATTATTTCCGGCACTATCCAACAATCTTACATAGGTAGAAAAAACAAGGTCTTGAAAGGATCTATGAATAAACTTTCGCTTGCTGCACATGAAGTTTGCTGCACAAAATTGCAGTCTTCCTAATTGCTTGATTTAGGTTCAATGTGATATTTTCTTAGGATCATAGTCTCGCCTACACATTCCTTCAGGAGCTGTGAAAATCAAACAAAGTGTTGGCTTTTTGACTTCATCGGTACTTGACTTGAAGTTCTCATCTCTGGCCTAATATTGTCGTAACGTACATCAAAGGTGAACTTTGTTCCGGTTCCACAGAATCCTAAGTTTATTTTATAACAGTGACATTTTTCCTTGCTGAGTTAAATTTATAATTTTCATCATTTATTACGCATCAAGTCTATTGATTTTACTTGAGTTAATTTCAGTCAAAGTAACATTTAGTGTATCTTTTTTTCAAAAAGTATTGTACGTTTATTGGGTAAATTGTTTTTTGTCTGGAACCTTTGTATGTGGCAGTTCATGATTTCACCTTTTCCAACTATAAGTTTTCGATTGAGATCATGAACCGATTGATTTTAGACCATTATTGAAAACCTGGAAGCACTGGACGCCCGTTTTGTCCTATTGTGAGGCCCCTCAGCAGTCCTTATCCACGAAACGGCCGTCCAGTGTTTCCAGGTTTTCGATGGTGGTCTAATATCAATGGGTTCATGATCTCAATCAAAACTTAACAATCTCCACAACCCCTATACTGATATCAGTTTCCGAGTCTAATTTATTTGAACAACCCTGATTCGTGACTGGATGGTACAAGAGAAGTACTTGCCAACGCTCCGAAGCCATCACAGTGATGAATACTGCTAAAAGACGTATTGTCAAGCGCAACCGGGATCGATCTAATGGTTCTCTTTTTGTTGATACACAAATTGATTTGCAGTCATTCAAAATAGGCTCAGAACCAACTCTATTTATTGTTTAAAGAAGGAGGGATTGAATTCATGGAGTTCCGTCATAAATAAAAACTAATAAAACGAGGTTTCTTCTGTCTCAATCCTCTAAACGGCTTTAGGCAGGAAACGCCTAAAAAGTCTAATCGCAATGCTAAGTCTGTTTTTCTAGCAAACAAAAACGACAACCTGACGCCATAAGTCATCGACGATCATTCAGTGTTCCTAACGCAACTGCGGTTGCTACTGCAGTGAGACTGATAAATGAATAAAAATTCGGAATGTAAAATGTCTTGATGTCACTAAAGAAAAGCCAGTCTCCCTGACAGAAGTCCAGAAATGGATGGTTGATTATATTTACAGATCAGTCGTCTTCCATAAAATCAAGGAGAGTGAAAGCTCAGAACCCTGAACTCACTTTGAGCATAATGTTTGATTGATAAAAGATTTAAATAACCAGATAATCTATCAGGATATCAGTGAAGTCACCTTTCTGAAGATTTATAGACTAGGTAGACAGGCGGACTTAAAACAAAATCAAACCAGACTGATAAAAATGGCATTTGAACATCCCAATAAATGAGACTCAATACTACAGAATGCATGTAAAATAAAGGGATCAGGATTTTTTGTCCGTGAAAGCTTACCGCTCGCCGACCGTATAGAAAGACGAGAAGCTAAAAAAGGTCTAAAACTAAGGTTGGAAGCTGACGAGAAGGACCTAGGAACTGCACATGTTTTACTGGTGAGGTCTCGACGGTGTATGGTCCTGTAGTCCCTTAAAGTGCAGCCCAAAGCCATTTAAACGGTTTTTAAATCTGTTACATAAATGCCTCAAGCTTACTCTTCAAAAGATTGGAGTTAGATAGACGGATAACATTTATCCAGCCAGATTCAATTGACGCCATAGAAACTTGTCCTCAGAACACGTATGAGACACAAATATGTGAACTATCGACTCGTAAGCTTAACCAGAGTTGTTATCGAGGTTCTCGAATAGGTTGTTCGGAAGGACTTGTTTATGTGTCTAGAGGATAACCTGCTTCTATCTAATAGGCGAAATGGCCTAAGAACAGGTTGTTCATGTCTCACAAACTTACAAGTAACTCATAAAAGTTAGTGTGCTATTGAAGATCAAAAGTTACTTACATATGTAGCTTAAAATTCCTTCAAGAAGGCTTTCGAAAGGTTTTACACAACCTCCTGTTATCAAGGTTAAGTAATATTGGTATTGAAAGACTGTCTAGTTGGGCGTCAACATGAAGTACAGGTGAACTCAACCTTGTCTATCTGGGAGACTGTGCTTAATGGAGGGCCTTAAGGTACAATTTCGTAACCACTTTTGTTTCTCATGTTCTCAAATAACCTTAGTTTACTATCATCAGTTCTATTATATGGTGTTGATATCAAGACCTGAAGAGGGATAGAAAATGAAAGTGATTGCTCCAGAATGAGCTGCGAAAATAGTCTGAATAGTATAAAATTTTATGGCTGCCAATAGATGCTTCCAAGTGCATTACGATGAATATTTGTCACTGAGATACAGATAAATACACTGTAAATAAAATCGAATTGCCAGTTGTTCAAACACAATGGTTTGGGAGTCATTGTTGGCCAATACTTGAAAATTACTCCACACTGCCATGCTATAGCTTCCAAAGGTTTTAACCCACATGTTCAATATGTAGAATCTTTAGCCATGGCTATGCTAAAACGTTTTCGACTCTATTTATAGTATCTGTTTGTCCTAAACTCAAGTAATACATACACATAGCCAGACCTTGCCTAGAGAGAGGCAGTAAGCCATTGGAAAAGGTTCAAAGGACCTTAACTAAACTGATCCTTGTGATCACAAAGCTCTTGTATAAACTAGACCTATTAACCTCGTCATATAGCGTAACTGGAGGTGACTTGATCACAGTTTTGAAATGGCCTAACGATGAATTTACATCTGATATGCCATCACTTTTATTGACATCAAAGACAGGGAATTTACGAGGACACTGAAAAATGGCTCGTCGGCCACAAACGAAGTAATTGTCAGTTAAATATCGACTTTCTCATCAATCATCAACAAGTAGAACTGGTTACCTAACGCGTTATTGAAGTTCCATCTGTCGAAGTATTCAGAATAGTTATATTATCCTACAGATTACTACTGTCGCAACTCGCAAAGACGACCCGGAATTCTGTTCTTTCCAAACTAAAATTATTATTATTATTATTATTACCTATATTTTGTATGTTCCCAATCAACTAATAAAGAGTAAAATGCGTTGGAAAACAAAGAGGAAATAATAGAGCAACGCACCAAAATGTCTGCTTTTTTGCATGTCTAGAGAAAACAATACTGATTTCTCCCTTTTTGTCGCTTTGTTGGGGAAATTTTCTAATTTTCGTCTAAATACATACACTGGATAGCGTGACCATTAAAGAACTCGATGTCTTTGGTCTGCTAAATAAGCTTGACATAGGTAAATCCACGGGGCCCGATGAATTACATCCTAGGCTACTGAAGGAATTATCTAACTTCGTTGCGAACCCTTTAAGTACATGCTTCAACCTATCCGTTACGCAGGGTCGCTTACCGAAAGATTGGAAAAACGCCATAGTAAGTCCTGTCTTCAAAACAGGCACGAAACACAAACCTGAGAACTACCGCCCCGTTAGCCTAACTAGTGTGGTTGTTAAAATATTAGAAAAGATTATTCGGAAGGAGCTGTTTAAGTATCTCGATAAAAACCGGATCCTCTCGGAGAAGCAGCATGGCTTCAGAATAGGTTATTCTTGTCTCACTAACTTATTAGTGGCTCGTGAAAGTTGGTGTGCTCTTAAGGACCAAAAGCTACCTGTAGACGTCGCCTTCATTGATTTCAGTAAAGCTTTTGATAAAGTTCCGCACAACCGGCTGTTATATAAGTTAAGACATGTCGGGATTGGAGGTAATTTATTGATGTGGATAAAAGACTTCTTAGTTGGGCGTCAACAAAGAGTAAGGGTGAACTCAAAGTTATCTAGCTGGGAAACTGTGCTTAGTGGAGTGCCCCAGGGTACAGTTTTGGGGCCAGTGCTATTCCTCTTATATGTAAATGATCTTCCTTGTCTCCTATCATCATCGGTCTTGCTATATGCTGACGATGTCAAGATATGGAGAACGATACGATGTAAGAGTGATAGCTTAGAACTTCAAAATGACCTGAAGAAGTTATCTGAATGGTCTCAAACATGGCAGTTGCCGATAAATACTTCCAAGTGTGTTGTGATGCATATCGGTCATCAAGGCACAGATACATACACGATGAATAACACTGAGCTACCTGTCGTCCAGACATATAATGACTTAGGAGTTATCGTTAGTCAAGACTTAAAGACTACTGCACACTGCCGTGCAATAGCCGCCAAAAGTTTTAGAACGTTATGGTCAATACGTAGGGCTTTTAGTCATGTCGACACTAAGACGTTTTTGACTTTGTATACAGTGTTCGTTCGTCCTAAACTTGAGTACTGCATACAAGCGGCTAGCCCCTGCTTTAAAAAAGACAGAGAGCTTCTGGAAAAGGTTCAGAGAATGGCGACTAAGCTGGTTCCCGCAATAGCGAAGCTTCCGTATGAATCTCGACTGGCCAAGCTG